TCTGCCGCTTTTTTCGGCAAAATTATCCACACCCACCGCCGCGCTATGAATTCTGGGATATATGGGACCACAAAGTCTACAGCGGACCAAACTTCATATTTGGGGAAAACGACGGCGTATTTGGAGACCGCATTTGGAGTACACTTCGGATTGGGACAGCCATGGTCACGTCGCTGTGACATAATAGGTCTCAAAATGCGTACTCCGAAGCATGTCGTCGCTGGATTGGGACACAGCCAATATATACACCGAGGGTAACGAGGGAATCTGCAACAGGAGGAAAACACAGCTGGATCTAAACTGACATAACAAGACAGGGAGGAAGCAAAACAGAATACACGAGCACAGGACACAGAACTATCACAATAAAACTGGAAGCCAGAGACTAAAACTGAGATGTGTATTGACTGGACATAAGGCACAGAGGGAGCAAGAAATGTAGCTGGGAAACAGATGAATAAACATGGAGGCAGAAATAAACCTACAGTAGATGGAAGCACAGTAGATGGTACATGGAAGGCACAGGAACAAAACCTAAGAACTAGAAATCACAAAAATATAATCGAAAACATAAACACTGGGTCACCAGACCCATAACCATGACAGAAATAAATTGCTGTAGTCAGCAAGTTTAGAAAATCCTCTTAAAATGTGAGATTCAGAGATTCAGTATAAAACTACTGTAATTCTTAAACTGTTCATGCAGTATTTTTGTTAACCTAATTTTTGTCCTTAAATCTTGTTTCATTTAAAAATCTGGTGGTATATAGGGGCAAAATTACAAACATTGGGTCCTTATCAAAATTATCTTTCCGGTTTCTAGGCTGTTACACCATTGTTGGCCTCGTATTCATATGACACCCAATGGCATTTTAATCCACAGCCTCATTTCCACAAAGAAAAAAGTTAACTATGTGAAATGTAAGTAAAAACAATGCAGGGAGTAGTGATGGTAAATTTGATTCTTTTTACTGAATCGAGTTTGAATGAGTCACTCACAAAAATGAATCGGATTTTTGGGTCATTTGAGTCACTGAGTCAGTTGCCCAGAGAGTGCAAAAAAATTACATTTTCACTCAAACTTAATGTTTCTCTTTTCATGTATATCCTACTGCTAAGATGATTGAAAAAGAATAACAACTATTTTTATAGAGCAAAAAAGTGCAAAAAAAAAAATACAATTTTTAAAGGGAAAAGTTATTTTATTTATTTTTATTGTATTTTATTAGTTTTTTCCTCAAATGTCAAATATATATATTTTCTCATCTAAAT